TGCCGGTACCAATCTATTTTTTTTCTATTTATATGGTTTAAAAGTCACGCAAATAAATGATATAACCAATCAAACATTCTCAAAACTATTATTGTATAATAATATAAAGGAAATACAAATGTTATTAGCATTTTTGACTACATCACGACAATTACCGATCATGGTCACGGAAATTGCCGATCGTATCGGGTGAACCGGTTCGCGAAAAGTGTATCGCGATATATCGTATTGTGAAGTTCGAATTGCAATATACCGGTTAACCGGTATTATCGCCCATCCCTACTTTACGATATGCAGGAAATATCGAGGTTAACATGGTTTTATGCCATTGTTATGTTGAGTTTTGCCTTAAATCTTTCTAAGTCTTTTTGAGTCGAAATCCTCACTTTGTAGTTACCAGGTATCGTGTTGTGACAATAAGACACACGAAGGAGTGTTGGTAGATTTTTGTAGATGTATGTGGTTATGTAAATATGTCAATTATTGAAGGATTCCTAAAGACTATCCATTTCTAAACCAGTATGAATATTAAGAAAATTGTTGGGCAAAATGATTTCGGGGAAAGTTACCTAATTACGTCGCCACATCTACTGCGACAATACTCCCCAAATGTGGACCTGTTTTATTAATTGCATAAAAAGACACCCTAATGTTATTGCAACATATCTGGTTGGTTATGGTTCTTCAACGACGCACTCGGCAGTATTCAAGGTATATGGTGGCGATCTGTAAATAATCCAGTCTGAACATCACAAGCTCGTGATCAACATCTTGAGCATCGATCGCAACACATCTAATCGAGTCTAAACCAAACAATCCAGTGATCAACATCACGAGCATCGATCGCAATACATCTGGAATGACTTAACTTTTCCATCAAGATAATGGTTTAACTGGAGAGTGGTTTCTTCAATATCTGGTGGTAATATGTGACAAGGTCCGGGAAGGCATTTTATATGAATAAATGAATGAATATATACACAACCTTTAAATAAATCTCTGATGTAGAGTGAATCTTTCTACGTCGGAAGTAACTTGCTGATGAATGTAGTGAAGAAAAATCAAGCTCACCTGTTTTGGTCTTTTTTCCCTTTTGAGTGTACAAGGGAAGCATGTTTTGCAGCCAATCAGGGCATAAATTTCTACAGCGGCGGAGAAAATTGAGATAAGATTTTTTTTAAACATTTGCCCTCGGAATGAAAATTGCAGGAGACTGACGGAGATGGGAAACACAGACAAAAGTACGGACAGACCTAACATTTACCTGTTAGCAGTGGCTGCCGATACCGTGGGGAGAAACCTCAGCCAGAAAGACGGTATCAGTTCTCTACCCTTTAGGACATTCAATGACGCGCTCGTAAAATATATTCCATGCTTGTGAACGGCGATAAAGGTTAAGAAATGCAAAGCAACATAACATGACATGATGATGAAAATATAACGGCATTGGTTGTAAATATAGTTTTACCGAAAAGGCCTGAATTAAAATAGAACACAAACGTACTATACACTTCCATGCAGGCATCAGATATTATAACACTAATTGCCAACACAGGTAATGAGGTACCTTAGGTAGACACTGAAGTAGTTGGAGGGGTTGAGTGATGGGCTTGAAGTGTACTGTCTTTACAGTTGTTTTGGAGGATTCCTAATTAAATTCTATAAAAATATATAACTCACCTAAAACACAACATATGTACAGAAATTTGAGTCATCAATTTGTTTTTCTCTTACATATAATGGTGGTTGAAAATAATAAGGAACAAAAAACACAACTGCAGGAAAAAACCTGTGTTCAGCAGTACTGGCAATAGTGAAATACAAGTAGTACCTTAGGAAACACAGTTTGAGTATCCATATTTGTTTTACTTTGAATTTTTACAGTGTTAATGGGGCAACAGCATACACTTCATAGTTTGTCATTCATTACTGACTTATTCTTTGGTACATACACTAGCCATCAGTTTGTTTTGTAAAGATCTACAACCACAAAAATTATATTGAGTATTTAATATTATCACTATAGTGATTATGATCATGCAAATGAATTTAACCTTACAAAATGGTCTCTTTACTACTGCAGTTAGATACAAAATGATTAAAATAGTGTATGTCTTATTTAAAGACAAGGCACATTTAACATTTTTCTTTTTTATGACCAGGAATATTGGGGTCACTCAGGGGATTAAGGGGCAAGAGGTCGCCCTGAACTGATGTTTATACATGTATAATAATGAAGATATCTGTAACACTCATGTAGTCTTTAATCTTACTTCTAAATGGGTGAAATTATCTCTGATGTTCCCTGCAGGGATATGGTTGGAATATTCCTAAAAGCTGGGTAAAAACACATTCACTTACTACTTCACAACCTACAGTGGTTTTCAGTGGTGAGCATCATTTGTAGATTGAACAAATAAAACTGTTGTCTATGAAATTAGACTTCACTCTCTACCAGCTTCAGATTATGCTCTTTTCACAAATATCACCCAGTACTCTTAGAGTTAAACATGAACTATGTTAGACTAATGTTTTGTCTCTGATCATATACATATATATATATATTTTTCTGGAAACAAATAACTCCACTTATATTGAAAAGGAGCCCTGCTGAGATGGGAGACTATGAGGAAATGTAGACTTGCTTCATTTAGAGTACTCACATTCCCACTTTAATCGAAATGAAGAAGTTGTTATCCATAAAGTGTCTGTATTGTATTTCCCAACTTCTAAAATGCCACTCAAAGAAGACATTCCAAAAAGGACTCAGTCAAAAGAAAATGTCTTCCAGGGACTGTGAGACATACTAGGAACAAGTGTATGTAATCCTTTTCAAACAGATTCAGGCACAAACAACCATGCCTTCAATGTTGTAACCACTAAAGATGCTGTCACTGAGGCTCTGAGGAATACATTATACATACATATATATTTGCCTTGTGGAAATGGTGAGGCTGTATATTGTTACATTTTATACTGGATGTATCATATCTATATGCCGTGGTTTCTATGTCCACTCAGCATGGAGAAAATTGATAACCGTTTCACATTTTCAAGTAAATAAAATGTCCTTTTTGGTCTTTTAGTGTTAATATTATGATCATGGAAATCATTCAGATTGATTTGAATAAATTGTTTATCAAAAAGCAGGGACATACCTTGAGTCCTGTATTTGAGGGTCCCTGGGACTCATACTTTTATTGTCCTGGACAATAAAATGGGAGTCCCAGACACTTAAATATTATTATTAATAGTAAAAAAGAAATACTGTTATTGTATTGTGTATCATGATCATCACATTAATTGTTACAGTAATTAAATTGCAAATGATACCATAACCCAGATAGCAGCAAACTCAGTGATAACTTATTGTTACTTGATTGGATTTTTACAAAAAGTATTTGGACTTTTCTGCGTCCCTGTGGATGCGCTAATATATTTTGTTGCGTCCATTGTCAATTTTTATGAGTATAGGACGCAGGAATTCATGTCCTGTAAATCCCTGAAAACGTATACAACTATGGGCAAAGGATGAGATCTGTTTTTTTCTGTTGCCTGAAATGCATAAAAACTTTATATATATGATGCATGAATAAGCAAAAACAACTCTTTCAGTGTTGAACATATTTATTGCTGAATCAGCTCTCTTTTAAGACGTTCATAACAGTATAAAGAAAACATTTGAACAATACTGGAATATGACATCATTTGACTTGTAGTTGAACATTTTTGACTAGACCATGTGAATATGCTATGCTAGATTCAACATTGAGATAATAAGCCATGACATGATATACACATTCAGATATCATGGTTTTAAGGCCCCCCAAAATAAATGTTATGGTTCCGATTTCCTACATTTCAGAACTAGGGTAGGTAGGTAGGGTTTTTGTTGTTTTTTTGCAAAATATTTTTACATTACTCATCATACTCATGTGTCAGAAAATAAATTTAATTTATGATGTGGTGAGTAAAATTGTTAGGCTCGGCGGGAATATTTAGGGTCGGTCGGGAAATCGGAACCACGAGCTTTTTGTTTTAGGCCTAACTAAACATTCTCACTCAATTTCAAATAATAATAATAATGATAATAATAACACCTAAGATAGAGGTTGCAGCAAACAAGGCAGCATGTTCACAATGTGCTTGAGGGGTATTATGTTTAGTTATTTAATTTTCTTTTGGGTAAATATCCGTAAATGTAATTACTGTTTCCCTTAATAACCATCATACAATGATTCCATCAAGCTTGCCCACTTCAGGTGACTGAATGAATTAGGGTCAAGTGCTTCACTTAATAAAACAAAGCACACCCGTTTCATGTACACATTAGGTCTTGACGGGTGTTTAACAATACAAACATGCTAACAACTCTCATCGAAACATTCAGGAAGTATGGAAGGAAGCTAAAACAGGTTTGAATGAGTTTTCTATATAACTAGGTTCTACTTATCTGGTTATGATAACCATTGCTTTAACCTTGAAACACCATGAAATGTTTGCCATTTTCATGTTTATGGTCAAACCATATAAATCCATAATTGACTACATGTACAAAGTTTGATGTACAATACATAAACCTAATGCCAACAATGTACAATTTGTTTTATTTATATAACAAAAACGTTTAGACAGAAAGTGTGAAGGTAAAACTTTCCTTTAAGGAATAGTGTTAAGAACATGTTTTACAAAATCGGAGCTTGAAGTAGACAGACTATGTAGCACTTGCCATACTTTCTACTTGAGGTGAACAGTAGGGTTTCTATTTGTGTTGTAGTTAGGTCTTTTTGGTTTGTGTTTGTGTGTGTGTGTGTGTGTGTGTGTGTGTGTGTGTGTGTGTGTGTGTGTGTGTGTGTGTGTGTGTGTGTGTGTGTGTGTGTTTCAAAACCTGCATCATATACAGACTTTATTAAAGGCCAGAATTAATAACAAGTAACCTTATATTTTCAGAAAGGTTCCACAAATTACTTAAATCATACAGGATTGATAAAGAAGCAGCTTACATTTACACATGGAGAAAACAAGGATTGAGATGAGAGCTACCTTGTATCAGTTGATGCTGATGTTAACCAGAAGGGCTAGTGGAATTTCACACATTTTGTGACAGTGTGTGTCGGGGCCTGGGAAAGGGTTGTTGATGGGAGGTTATTGCGGTATTTAACATAACTCAGCCAAGCAGATTTTTTTGGTTAACCTCCATCCCTGTTAAGCACTCTCAATCAGTCACACAACATAAATAATCAGTCAGTTGCTATCACATACCTAGACTGAAACACTATCACAACTGATGATCCCACACATATACCATGTTTCAGCTATACTGAATATACTAAAGTAGGGGTGAAACGGTACGCTCTTACCACTGTATGGTACGTATTGCGGTACAAGGCATTCAGTTTGGTTCGCTTCGGTATATGAGATCATAAAATTGACATATGGCAAAGAATGCATAGATTTTGACAAAACAATTCGAGTTCTGGACATTTTAGAAAAAGTATAAAAAGGTTAAGAAATTGACAGTATGAAAACCGAAAATACCAATTTTCTTTATTGCATTATGATGTACCAAACTGAAGGCTAAGTACTGTGGTTCTACCGGTACTAATACCGCGGTATACTGTTTCACCCCTATACTAAAGTTGTTGTTATGTCACATCTGAGTCTTTACTCAGGATCTACTCCACAGACCACTGACTTGGCATATTCCACATCTGCCTCTAGCAGACTATAGTAAAACTCTGCCCTGTCCCTCACAGCACGATCGGAATCACTGATACATGCCTCTATCAGTGACCCTAACATTGACTGAGTCTCTCCAGGTCGAAAAAAGAAGACTTTGAGTACTGTGTTGAGAAGCTGCTCCTTGAGGTCAGGGTTGTCAATCTCCCCAAGTCTGTCCACAAAGTCTTCTAGAATGTAGGGAACATCCTCGACGTGTTGCCCATACTCTCCTAGCAGATGTAGGAGAGCTATAGTCCCAGAATCATCTTCAACAGTCTTGTGGATAGTGCCCAGGATCGAGATGATGTCCTTGATTCTGTCCTGGTCTTTGAAAGACATTGTCTGAAGGACCTGAAGAACATTTGATACCACATGACTGGAGGAGCTCTCAAGAAGACCTTGGAACTTTTCCAAACAGCTTTGGTTGAGATGCTGGTGAGACCTAGAAATGGTGGCTAGTGCATCCACTGCACATTTGGACACTTCCTTACATCCATCTATGCAGTGGAGGCTCAGCTCATCAACAATTGCATTTTCATTGCTCTGGTTAAGCAGCTCAGGTAGAAATTTCATCTTCTTTATCTTCAGGTACTGAGGTTCTTTGTAGCGACAGAAAAATGACTGATAGTCAGAACTGAACACCTGAAGAAGTGTCTTAGAAAGAGAAGACAAAAAATCTACTACAGAATAGATAAGCTCAATATTGCCAGAACCAAGCTGACTCACTATAGCTTCTTTGCCTCTTCGACATACTTCACTTTGCAGACGAGGAAGTGGACGTACAATATGCAGAAAGAGTTCCAGGCAGATGCAGACTACAGTACAGCTGTTATGTTTCAGGAAAGGATCAATAACGTTCATAATGTCAAATACTTCATCATCTGATGAAGGTGTGTATTTTTTCAGGACCATCAATATATTGGCTTGCGACCATGCTGGGAAGTCCTTCATTCTGTTTAACAAATAATGAGCTATATTCTTATTGAGAACAATGCCTCCCTCATCATGAAGTATTTCCTCTAGAGCAGAGATGCAGTTGACAACCACCAGGGGATCTGGATCTCGAATCATGGAATACAACTGATCAATGATATGGCTATCTCGGATGTAACTGCTATTGAAATGAAACACTTTGACACTTCCAATTACAGCAGCCCTTCTTACATAGGAGCTTTTGTCTGAAAAAGCTCTCTTTATAGCCTTGTCTGCAAATTCAAGAACCGATTCCTGCTTTAGGGCACAAAGAGTTTTAAGAGCAAGTCCTCTTAACATTGGGTTACTTTCCTGGCAGTCTTTGAGGAGAGTATTTATGGCAAGGAGTATCATTTCTGGGTCATTGGCACCATATTGAATGAGGATGTGACCAGCCATCTTCTTTATGCACATGTCGGAGTGGGCCAGGAGCTTGACTGCAGAGGGCAGCAATGGTGTCAGGTTAGCATTGTTGGCACTTAGGGTCATCACCTACAAAAGATTAAACAACCAATATTTGATCTCTGGTAATAGTAGCATAAAAGATAGTATAAACTGTTGGCTTATACTAAGACTACATTTCTGTAGTTTGATAACAGCCACAGTACATTTCTAAAGTAGCCTGTAGGGGTGAGTATTGCAGAGAATTTTCATATTGCGATATACTGCGATGCGAAAGCACATATTGCCATATGTATTGCAATATATTGCAAGTAGTTTTATAAAACAACAAACTACTTAGAATGGAGTTAATGCTTGATTTATAAAGCAAAACCACAACAAAATCACTATGCTTGATTAGGCTTTAATAGAAACGTTTAATCATGACAAAATCAAAATGTAAATAATGTTTGGCACACATGAAACAGGGAAAGGAACAATAAAAAAAACGGAAATATACCACGATTTCTGAGTGTTACGAAGTTTTCCGAATACATGTCAAAATACCAGTTTTTTATCAGCATATCGCAATACATATCGTTTTCGTGTCTGAACTGGTAAATACCAGTAAACCGGTTACATTGAGCAGCCCTAGTAGCCTGCATATTACAATTAATGAGTAAGTGAGTGAGTGAATATGGTTTTACGCCGCTATTAGCAATATTCCAGCAACATCACAGTGGGGGGCACCAGAAATGGGCTTCACACATTGTACCCATGCGGGGAATCGAACCCAGGCCATCGGAGTGACGAGTGAGCGCTTTAACCACTGGGCTACCTCACTACACCGCATATTCCAATGACCACTCCAGCTACAGTCATGATACAGCGGCTGAACTTACTGACACCCACTGCACAGTATTATCAATCTTGATGATGGAACACTTGGTTCATCATGGTATCTTGTATTATCTACAGTTTCTCAATTTCGACAGATGGCTGCCATAAAGAATTATCAACTCATCCACAAGAAACATCATCAGAGTATTATCTGGCAATCACAGTATTCATTTTTTTATTAAGAAATGAATTTACTGTAACTGTTTTTTAACATAACCGTTAATTAAATTTGTGGATACATATTCAAAAATTGAAAACAGATCATGTACTTCTGCTGGGTTGTTAATAATATAATAACAACGTTGTTGTCCCAAAATGGGGTAACTCCACAAAAGGAATGCACTATCGATCATTCATTTTTTGAAAGCAGGATCAACAAGAAAACTAAAGACGGATCGTACAGAACGTCTCATCAAAGTGCTCGAGATGTAAAGCTGTGTTTTCCACAAGGCTACGATTCATGCGTTCAGAATGTTCGTCTTGAACTTATGAAAGCGGTGCAAAATCGTCATGTGTCATCTTTTAAATAATGTTTTAATGAAGACGTGAATCGTATCTATGTATTAGCGATCAGTAGGTGAGCATTTTGTAGATTTGCTTCGATTTGGCAGCAACAGCAGCACGATGAATTGAACTATCTAGCGGTTATTTCAGAATTCCTCAAGCCAAATATTACATCAGTGATGTAGATTATATTCTTACTTTAGACAGGACTGATCGACATGAAGCAAAATCATTCAAACATTCTGGGCTGCTCATTTTTGCTGCAAGAGTGTCAATAGTATGTCTGTCGCCGACAGAAGCTGCCGCCATTTTGACTGGGCATAGCTTGTCACATGACAGGTGTTATAAAAATAGACTATTAACTGAAACGAACAAAATGAACGCCCGAACTTCTTTTTCCTTTCCTTTAATACCCCAGGAACATGATTTTGAACAGAAAATGTAGGTCATTTAATACTAGTTTATTTATGTTCCCATATTAATAATAATAATGATACTTCAAGAATGATAAGAACGAAATATACAAGAAAGATATGAAAGAATACTACCGTGTGAATGTATGTGAAAAAATACAATAAATTTGTTTCACAGATAGTTTACTGATTTCGAAAATTATAACAATTACAACAGAATGAATGTTATTCAATGAGAGTGTCAATCCTCTTCAGTGCCCAGGATGGCGAACCCTATTCGAGATGCCACAGTGCTGTAAGCCGGATGGCATAAAATGTTTCGTTGGTAGGCGGGTGCTGATATTTCAATTTTGAAATTTGTTTTTTGGTCCTTTTTTATGCAAAGAGTTATAGTTCATGTCAGTATTAGCCGGAGTCTTATAAGCATCAATGGCCATGCATCATATGTTTACACTCCAGTCTGTACAGGCTTGAACTGATTCGACTCAGGAGTATATATATACTCACACGCATAAGAAACGCAAGTTTTTTTTATCCAAATGGGAAACAAACTCGGAATGCCAATTTAAGGTGCATGTAAACTATATATATACTCACACGAAAGTTGTTGTTTTTTTAATCCAAATTGGAAACAAACTCGGAACCCTAAATTGATATGAGGCTTTGGCATATAGTGAAGCTTAATGGAGAAATCATGCCATCGGACGTTTGGAAGCTGGAGAGTCTGTCCAAGATGTTGCCCATTATTTCAACGTAAACATAACCACGATTTACCGTCTCCAGCATCGATACAACGCAACACAGACGACCTTCATCGGAGCGGTCGTCCTAGGGTCACCACCCCATGACAAGATCGGCACATTACTAGTGTATGAAATTAGCAAGAAACACAGCCAGACATCAGGGCTGGCAACTTCAAAATGTTACCAGCCCAAATGGAATTTTACCAGACCAGACACCAAGATATGGTAAATCTACTCAGATGTATGGAACATCTAAAATTTTTACCAGACGGTCGGACGGGCCTTATTTCCTACACTGAGTCATTACCCATCAACACCAGATCCGTTCTTGTCAACCCCTTTTTGATGTCATCAATCTTTGCAGCCAATAAAATGTGTTCATTCACATTTTTGTCTGTATGGCCCTGTTGGTGTTTCTTGTATTTAATGTTGAAAATTACATATGTGTGCACTTTATACTCGACTTGCGTAGCTGTTGCGCGTGAGTAACGTTTATTATACTTTTCACATTGTTAGGCTAATTTTATTCAAGTCAATTTATAACACACACCCAAAAAATAAAACAAAAACAAACAAACAAAAAAAACCCAAGAAACCCCCCAAAAACCAAAAACCTAAACAAACAAAAAACATACATTACAACGATAAAATCCCCCCTTTGCTCGTCAGCAGAGACTCTGTCTGTTATTTTAAGTATCCTGGAACATAATACATGTGAAACTTGCAGACTTAAACTTCAATATTAAGTATACTAAACAAAATTGTAAACATGACACCCATATTAGTTGGTTCGTGTTGTGCCATACACAGTTCCAATGCCATATTGGCTGTTGAACACGGTCTTGGCGACCGACGTGAAAAAAAATTTGGTCATGAAGCACGGAAAAAATGTGAAACTCAACAATCACGTCAGGCAGTTTGTGATTGCATGTGCCTTGCAATGCAAGCACACAGGTATTGCTAAATTGGGGAAAACGAATCAAATCTGCAGTTGTAATTTTAAAAAAAGCGAGTATGCCGCAAACCATCAATGTGAACGTGTGATGTTTGGACTTATGCTGGACAATCTGTTGCAGCAGTTGCACGAGCCCAGTGCTGTAGTTTACAGACAATACATTGTCTGCGGACCTGTATGCAACAGACGGGCACCGTTGCAGGTCCGCCGTATGACGTCACACCAAGATGACGTACACATCAGGTTATGTCATCCTCGCAGCAGACTGTAACATTACAAAGTGGTAGTTAGGTAGATATAAGCCCTTCTACCAATGTAAATACGTTTCCTGAAACACCCACGACGTTTACTTTGTTTTTGACAGCCCGGGCCAAGTCGGACCGAACACTTGTGATAGTGAGACTGTTTAGAATATAGGTGAGAGGCCTTCACATTGAGCAACGTTCGTGTTCGTGTGTTTTCCAAAACATCCCAACCGATTCTAGGTTTATCTACGACGTTTCAGAATGACCATTGGTGATTTGAAAAACAAACAAACAAACAACATATATCAACGATCACGAATATATAAACTCATGCCAATAATGGTTTTCAAAGGTCATTTTGCAAACATATATTGTATTCCTTCAAAGTATATGGGTAAGATCATGCTTTGTTTTACACATGTACATGTCAAGCTGAAAATTAGTCACAGACATTTTCAAGAAACAGAAAAATTCCCGATTACATTTTGAATTTTATTCAAAGTGAAGTTTGAAGAGGACATATATGTCCCTCTGGCATCCATGGGGTACATAAGAATCAAACAAAATATTCCGTTTCATCGTTATTAGCCATCAACACTTCCAATTATTGAATAGGGAGCTGCTGTCGATGTCACTGAAAGGTCACAACTTGAAATAGACAAGTTACTATGACGTCACAGTTGCAAAGTATCATGACGTCACAAGATGAGGTGGGATCTGCGTATCACGTGACGCTATTGTTGTCCATCTGCCTGGGGCGCGTTGTTTAGCCGATACGCTGTGCAGCGCTGCGCTTCTATTGGCTGAACAACGCCTCGCTGCATGCATCGCAGCGCTTCGGCGTGCAGCGACTGAGAGAGGTGCTTCCTGCCTAAGCGAGAGACATTCAAAATGGCGTCACGGCATGTCATTCTGCAAGGTAACAGAGAAAACTTGTCTGCTCTTCTGTGACCAATAGGGACAAGTTTTTAATGTTGCGCATACAATTCAAAATCATTGCATGGAATATCTTCTACAGCTTCGTGTGCCAAAAGTGTGGCTAGTATCGGTGATGTGTTACACCGGACGACGCCATATTGAATGAAGCGCTCACACAGCAGTCCGTTGCACGGGAAAGCAGGCAGCGTAGCGCAGCGAAGCTTGCAAACTTTTGATGGTTACAGAGCTGCTTTCAACTCGCTCTCGCTATTTTGTCAGTATTTATTTCCATGGGATGCCAGGACAGACAGTACAGGTCGTGTTTCAACTCCACGGGCTTCCTCAGTGGCATAAGGGCAACGATGAGTGCCGGTAGTTTGGTTAAAATCGGAGTTTCGGGTTCGATCCCTATATTAGGTTCATGGAGCGTCCTGCAGATACTGATTGCCGTCGGAGACACAACAGAACGTGTGAAAGGCGAGGAGTTATCTGCCCATATCGGCCACTTTCAAATGGCCGTGGCTGGTCACAACGCATGAAACTCGTGAACGCGTGAACCCTCCAAGCAACAGTGAGTCATCACCATGAACCACTCAAGTACATGCGATTCGTTATTTGATCAGTTGGGCATACAATGTCAACTCCGCTCCTCAACTGCATGTCGTACAAAAATTTTCTTATTGTGTTTTTTGAACCCGTTTGTTCCGACATTTAAACACATTTTGTCCATGCAGCTTGGGAATACTGACTGTTCGAAACATTCGTTTGTTTGTTATGGGTAATAAATAAAATAACCAGCTCGCCAAGGCTCGGCACTGTGAACATTATTTCAACTCGGGCATATTTCCCGTATTCACTCGTACCTCGTTGGTTATTCTCTAAATAATCGAGTATAGACCAGATGATCCAAAAATTGACGTCATGAGCATCTCTCTGCACAATCGATGTAGGTCAGCGAGCCTTACCATCCGACTGCACCTTTTACGACAAGCCTGGGTTGCTTAAGAATATTTTTTTCCAGGATTTCACACGTTGTTGAAAACATACACAAACGTTGCAGGTCAATCGTGTCGATTACTTTCCCGACACCCTGTAATGCACTCTTGTCTTAGAGAGATACCATGTCATGGATATCCCCAAGGCTTGTGTTAACACACTGTCAGTATAAAATGTGAAATATAATCGGTAGCTTGACTTGATCTCACATGATAGATAACATTAACCAGTCCAAATCAGGAACCAGTGTTCAGCTGTGCAAGCCCATACGGAGCTGATTGTACCGACACATTCATTTGTACAAGCTAAATTCTGACTGGATTATATTTGAGTGAATGTGTTGCAGGAGCCTGAAGCTCATCAGCGTCATCATGCATGGCGGATGGGGTTTTAAACATTCCCAGTTCATCTCCCGCATATGCCGAGCTGACATCCGCACTCACTACCCGTGCCAGCCAGGAGAGGTGTTGGCTGTGGCGGGTCCTGAAGCCTGTCTGGGTTCCTGGGGGTCAGTGAACGCCATCAACGCCAGGTATTACCCTTCGAAGTCTGGGTACTGGGCTCCCCACACTGTCTTGGATTGCTCTGTCAACTACCACTGAAAATGGGTAGTTCTGGACCCGGAGACTGGAGTCATCAGACGCTGTGAGGAGCGCTGGAACCGCTAACTGAAGACCAACTGTGAGGGTCTGGTGATGGACGCCAGAAGGAACTGCGAGTCCTTCATCCACAGCTAAAGCCAGATGACGTGTAATGTTGCTCAGGATGTAGCAACGAAATGGATCGAAAATGCTCAACTGGAAAATCGGTGCTTCGCAGGTGAGTAAGATTCTGATTGATTAAAGCGCTTACTGGTAGCAGAGACTATATATGTTGTATGGTCTCTGCTGGTAGAACTAGCAGTTCCTATTCACCATGACCAACACATTGTTTAAGTCTACTAACATTTATTGAGGCAATGCCTTAGTTCTACACATGGTAGGTGCCACAACTTCCAGATAGAGGTGGGGCGGTAGTGGTTAAAGCGTTGGTCTCGTCATGCCG